AGGCGCGCTTCGGATTGGAGCCGAGTTCTTAGCGCGATGGTACAATGGAACAAACAACAAGGACACACCCGTCTATGTGTCCTCACCAACCTGGGGTGAGTCTTTTTGCTGAAGTGAGAGGAAAAACAGAAACCAGAGAGAATTATCCTCATGACTCTCCCTGGTTACCCAGAAAATGTAATCCAGCCCTGGAACAACTGGTGTTTGGGAATGGCTTGAACAGTGTTTATGGCAGTGCATGAGAAATCTGCTCAAAATCAAATTAAGAATATTCTTTCTGAAGAGCCTTGGTAGACTTGTATCTGCCAAGGCTATGTTGAAACTCCCCAGAGGAGGCATAGAATGTAGATGCAGGAAGTATCATTGTAGTAGGATACAAGTCTGGCATTAATGTGACTGGTTGAATTTGTTCTTGGTTACAATCATTCTTCATCTTAACCCTCAGCCTTGATGATGCCCAATGACATTGTGCCCGGGAGGGCCCTGAAAGCTGACTTGCCTCCTTTCCACTCGTGCCTCCTAGTGTTTGTAAGAGTGCTTAACTTTTTACTCCTCTGCTTGCAGAGAATCACAATGCTGTATTTTCTGCTGCTGGTTTTAAAGACATTCGGCCCTATCGCTACTGGGATGCAGAGAAGAGAGGACTGGACCTCCAGGGCCTCCTGAATGATCTGGAGGTGGGTGCTTTAGAGGAAAAAGTAAAGAGAATCGCATGGTGTCAGGAACAGCAGGCAAAGTCTTTGGACCAGTTGCTAAGTGAGAGTCTGAGACACCTTCCCCACACCAGATTGTGGTTTCTGACATAGCATGTAAGAGAAAGGGCACAAAGGGGACATGAAAGAGTGATATGAATGTGGTTGCCCTGTGTCATCCATCACTGACCAGTCTGCTGCTGACTGTGTCTCCCAATATTCCCATCAGTGTCAGAGCTGACATAGCTTCCTTCTCCTCAGAATGCTCCTGAGTTCTCCATCTTTGTCCTCCATGCCTGTGCACACAACCCAACTGGGACCGACCCAACTCCGGAGCAGTGGAAGCAGATTGCT